ATATAGATCTCTTCCAGTCAGTTGGCCAAGTGGTTGTTCTCCAGATTTCTTGGCACAACTTGGTGAGCACATCCAGGGCAACATCTGTTATCTGATATACTTCAATTGGTATACCATCTATTCCTGTACCAGTCAGATATGATTTGATGGTACACAAAAAAAAATAATAAAATAAAATTTTAAAAATGAAATCTAACAGCATATTGCATGGACATATTTGCTATCAAAGTCTTCTTTAAGGTGCTAAAGAGGGAGAACTACAGTCTTTAAAGACTAAGGTGCACTGAACCTGAGCTACAGTGTCTTTCATTGTTTTACATGCATGTAGAAGATGGACAATGAATTAGAAAGACCAAAGATGACTTGATGACTGTGATGTATAAGGCCGATGCATTGCCATCAAGTCAGACCTAACTCAGCAGGCTCACTACTGGAGTTTCCCAGGCTATAAATCACACAGAAGGAAATAGTCCATCTTTCTCTGATGGAGCCTCAGGTAGATTCAAACTGCCAGAGGGAATGGCCTCTGGGTTAGCAGAACAACACACTAGAGACTAGGCTACCAGAGCTCCCATGGTCGGCCAAAAGAAGAAACAAATCTATCTTGGGAAAAGAACAGCTAGGGTGCTCCTTAGAGGCAAGTATGGTGAGACTTCATCTCACATACTCTTGATATATATTTGTCAGCTGGGTTACTGGAAAGGACTTCATTCTTGGAAAAGAGGAGGGTCAGAGAAGGAGAGGAAACCCCAAAGGAGATGGAATAACACAGGGACTGTAAAAATGGACTTAAGAATAGGGAGATTGTGAGGATGGTACAGGATTAGGCAAAGTTTTGAAATGTTGTACATAGGAGCACTATGAGTAAAAATTAGCTCAATGGAACCCAACAATAATTTATAACATGGACTATCAAATATAACAACAAAAAAGTGTCTCCAAACAGCAGAAGATAAACTAAACCACTTAGACAGACCCTCTAAAAGCAAAACTCTGTTTATCAAAAGCTTTCTCCAAAAGAATAAACCATCTACAGATTGGGGGAAAAGTATCTGACAATGATATATCCAAATATCCATTTATAGGATATCTGAATATCTAAAATATATAGGAAACTCCAACACTGCAACAATAAGAAGACAAACAGTCTAATTAAAACTAGGCAGAGATCCCAATACAGATATCAAATTCATATTTCAAGGAGGCCAAAAGGGAAAATGTCAAATTTATTTGGAGAGGGAAGAGATCTCGAATAAGAAAAGCTCTTCTGAAAAACAAAAATGAAGTTGGAGGCATAGCATTCCCTGACCTCTAAACCTACTACGCAGCAGTAGTAACCAAAACAGCATGGCACTGGTACAACAACAGGCACATAGACTAATGGAACATAATTGAGAACCCAGAAATGGAATTAGCTATCTATGACCAACTGATAATGTTGTTATTGTTGTTGTTGTTGTT